ACATTTATGACTGCGCATACTTGTACTTGTGACACCATTGACAGTGTGTGTATCTTTGTATAAGGATATTTGTATAGTCCTTGTATTCAAGACTCATAACATCATTGCTGGGAGAAATCTTGGAGATTATCTCCACCCCTCACATTTTACAGATGGGGAAATAAAGGCCCAGAGAAGTGGACATGGATTTGCTCTGCAATCTTGGGCAAGTACTGTACCTCCTTAGACCTTCATTTCCTCATCTTTAAAATGAGGATAACGTGTCATGGGTCTGTTTTGAGGACTGAAATAATGTAGGTGAAACCCTTAGAACAGTGCTTGAGTGAGTCAGCTCTCAACAAATGTTAGCTGTGATTATTGTTACTACTATTATTACTTTCACTACCATCTAAGAGCTCCAGCTGATTTATGGCAGAGCCATGTCTGATGTCTGACAGTCCAGTGTCCACCCTGTCAGGAACCCTCTTCAACACAGGTGTGTGTGCATTTCTTTCTGTAAGTATATGTGCACATCTGTATGCCCATACACATCCATCCTTGTAGCAAGCAGAGCTGCCTGGTATGGAGTAGACTGCATGGATCTGTGGTTAGAACATCTGAGTTGGATGGCTGCGTGTATCCATGTGTCTGTGTCTTCTGTGAACTTCTGTGCCACCGTGTGGACCAGAGGTGTATCTGTCAGTTTGTCCCTCTGCACACATCTGTGGGTATCTCTACGACCACGAAACTATGTGTGTGTGTGTGATACATGTGCTCTCCATATGTGTGTGTAAAAAAGCGTTGACTTAGAAACAGAGTCAAGGAAAGTTTGGGGACAGGAAGGGGGGCTTGGGAGCCTGATACTGGAGAGTCCAGAGTTGAGGGTATTGGGGGTCCAGGTCATCCCTCCCTGGCGCCCCTGACTCTCAGCCTCTTTCTGCCACCAGCGCCGGGTTTATTTCCGCCTCTGGAATGCAGCACTGGGCGGATTCCTGGCAGTGCCGGACCACGTGGAGGACATGAAGGCAGGCCGTGTGGTGGTCTCTGACCCCCGAGCGGGAGGTAGCTGCATCTGGTACTACGAGGATGGGCTGCTGAAGAACCAGGTACTGATACAGGGGCTGGGACAGGGACACCCTGGCCCTAGGCATTTGTGGGTCCACGCTGAGGAGTCCGATCCCAATCAGGAACACAGAGGGACACACACAGAAGCCAGGACCCTGGGGAGGGGAGAGTGCAGACTGTGCCCCCTGGGCAAGTCGTGCTCTTCTCTGGGCCTCAGTCTGCAAAAACAAGAGCAATGAACTGGGTGCTTCTAAGGGACCTCCCAGCTCTGATGCTTATGACAGAACTTGAGCCCTATTAATAATGGTAGATTTGGCCAGGCATGGTGGCTCATGCCTATAATCCCAACACTTTGGAAGGCCGAGGCAGGAGGATTGCTTAAGGACAGGAGTTTGAGGCCAAAGAAAAAATTAACTGCGTGTGGTGGTGCATGCCTGTAGTCCCAGGTACTCAAGAGGCTGAGGTGGGAGGCTTGAGCCCAGGAGTTAGAGGCTGCAGTGAGCCAGGGTTGCGCCATTGCACTCCAGCCTTGGTGACAGCACAAGACCTGGTCTCAAATAAATAAATAAAAAAATAAAAATAAAAATAAGAAAAAAGGTAGATTTATTCCACACACATTTCTTGAGCACCTACTATGTGCCCGGCTCTGTTCTAGATGCTGGGGATATAGCAGTTATAGACAGAATTAGCATCTGCCCTCCTGAAGCTTACATCCTAGTGGGGAGAGATAGACAGAAATAACTTAAATGGGCAGAATATCTTAGTGTCTTAGATGATGAAAGTTCTATAGAGGAAGATAAATCATGAAAGGAGAATAGGCCAGGCGCGGTGGCTCACGCCTGTAATCACAGCACTGTGAGAGGCTGAGTGAGGCAGGAGGATCTCTTGAGCTCAGGAGTTCAAGACCAGCCTGGGCAGCATAATAAGATGCCATCTCCACAAAAAGTAAAAAACACTAGCCGGATATGGTGGCGTGCACCTGTAGTCCCAGCTACTCAGGAGGCTGAGGTGGGAGGATTGCATGAGCCCAGGAGATTGAGGCTGCGGTAAGCTATGATCACACCACTGCACACTAGCCTGGGCAACAGAGGGAGACTGTCTCAAAAAAAAGGGAGCATAGGAAGTATCAGGTATGATATGGGAGCCTTTCCTGAGAAGATGACATTTGAGGGAGGCAGCTGTGCAGATATCTGAGGGAAGAGTGTTCCAGGCAGAGAGAACAGCCAGTGCAAAGGCCCTAGGAAGGAACATGCCTGGGATTGCTCTGGGCTAGCAAGGCTAGCTGGGTGGCTAGAGTGAGTTGAGTGAGGGGGAGGTAGCAGGAGATGAGGCCAGAAAGGTTATGGGGACTGTAAGTATTTATAGACCATTGAGAGGTTTTGTCTTTTACTTAGAATGAGAGAGATGGCTGACCACGTGCCAGGCTCTGCACTGAGTTCTTCACACAAATGCCTCCTATAATCTTTAGTCTAGAGTAGCATGGGGCAGGTCTTTTCATATTCCCCATTTTACAGGTGAGGAAACCAGAGCACAGAGAGGTTAGGTAATTTGCTGAAAGTCACACAGCCAGTAAATGTGTAGAGATTTTTTTTTTTTTTTTTTTTTGAGACGGAGTCTCGCTCTGTCACCCAGGCTGGAGTGCAGTGGCCGGATCTCAGCTCCCGGGTTTACGCCATTCTCCTGCCTCAGCCTCCCGAGTAGCTGGGACTACAGGCGCCCGCCACCTCGCCCAGCTAGTTTTTGTATTTTTTAGTAGAGACGGGGTTTCACCGTGTTAGCCAGGATGGTCTCGATCTCCTGACCTCGTGATTCGCCCGTCTCGGCCTCCCAAAGTGCTGGGATTACAGGCTTGAGCCACCGCGCCCGGCCATGTGTAGAGATTTGTCTGATGCTAACGCCTACGCTTTGAAAGCCAGTCATGGAAGGATTCCTGGAGGAGTTAATATTTTTCTTTCCAACCCTTTTATGTTTTCTCATGCTGAACCCTTGCAAAAGCCAGCATTTGGGGATTTCCATCCCCAAGGAAACTGAAGCTGAGGAGGATTAAGAGATTTGCCCAGGGCCACAGTCCCTAAGAGCCAGGATTCGGAGCAGATGTGTCAAGGGTTTCTTGGGTACGGTAGAGTCCCTGTGGGGAGGAACAATGCCTGATGACCTCCTGGGGCCTCAGATGGCCCCCACCATGAGCCTGCAGGTAATTGGACCCCCTAGCCCAGGCTCCAAGGTGGTGCTGTGGGCCGAGAGCCGCCTGCCGCGCCAGACGTGGAGCATCAGTGAATCCGGCCACATCTGCAGCCAGATGTTCGAAGGCCAGATCCTGGATGTGAAGGGTAAGGTGGGATGTACGGGGAAGAGGGCTCCTGAGGGGACTGAGAGCCATGGAGTCCCAGCTCTCTCTGACTATCTCCCTATCTTTTAATCCCCATCCCACCCCCAGGAGGCCGGGGCTACGACCGGGACCACGTGGTACTATGGGAGCCGGATGAGGACAGGGCATCCCAGATCTGGACCATCCATGTGCTTTGAACCTTTTCACCTCACCCTCCAGCCCTGGAGGCTTTTGCTGGGATGAATGTTTTTATAGGGTTTTTGTTGTAACATAAGCTGTTTTCTAATATGCTGCCAGGTACCCTTGTCTCTGTGCACCTTGATATTTCGGGGTAGGGTGGGGATTTGTTCACCTGCCTTCTTCCCTGAGGCTCAGGCTGACTTCCCTCCTGGCTCCAGCTTTGGGGTTCAGCTGTTAGGTCTCCTTCTGCCATCAGAGGGCGCCCTGGGACCGGACTAACTGGGGAGTGTAGTCTCGCGCGGCCACCCAAATGATGTGTTGTGAGAGCTGGGTCTCAGCCGGCCCTGGGCTGTTCGGGCACAGACACAAACTGAGCCTTTTGGTCCCTGTCCTTAGGGAACTTACAGTCCCATAGAGGATCCTGACGGGTAGGGTGATGCATCCATGAGAAGGGAGGAAAGAAATAGAGGGACTCACACAGCAGGAACGTCACCCCCACAAAGGGGTGCAGGGCAGGCTGAGATATCCCTCTGCACACATCAGGGACCTGCAGCTGAGTTGTCAGGGTGGGAAGGAGTTAGCCAGACTCCAGGAGGCAGATAAAGAATATTCTAGAGATGCATACAAGTCCAGGGTGAAAATTAGCGTGATGGGGGCACCCTGGGCCAGGCACGGGAGATAAGTGTGAGCCACACCCTGAAGGGCTGTGCCTCCAGGGCTCTGCTGCACTCACCCCAACTCTGGTCTTAGAGAAGCCAGGACAGGGCGTCTGGGTCTTTAACCCACCTCAGAGAGGGCAGGACATAGAAGAGGGGGAGCTCCCTCTGTCCCTGGAGGTCCTCAAGGAAGAAGCCAAGGTGGGAGGGGCCCTTGGGGGGTGCCCTGGGGCTCCCTTCCATCTCTGCAGCACCCACCTCCCCCAAGCCCAGGAGGGTGGGAGTGGTCAGAGCAGCTGCTTGCCCTTCCTGCCTTCCCAGCCCCTGGGCCAGCATGGGAGGTAGACAGCCACCAGTCATCCTTCTCCAGCTCCAGATGCCTGTGGGGCTGGTTTGCTGGGGATCTAAAGACCATGTTGAGGGGTGTCCCTGGGTCTGGGGATCTCCCTGGATCTGTCATTCTGAAGATACCCAGGTAGTGGGGTAGAGGCTCTCTGAGCCTGGGATGTCCAGGGTAGTGGCATCTCTAGTACCATCATTCCCAAACACCCAGGGATGAGTGAAGCAAATGCAACTGCAGGGGTTGGTGAGGCTGCCAGGTTCTGGGCCTTGTCCCTGTAATGTGCTTCTGAGGGGAGGGGCCCTCAGCGTTGGAATTTAGGTAGGGAAGCTGGGGGCTGCTCCCTGGTGCCAACTTCCCTGCTGATGGGGGAATGGGAAGCTCCCTGGTGCTGCTGCACAGCTGGCTCTTGGGGCGTAGGGATGGACAGTAACCGCACACAGGACCCCACTGCATGTACAAGGGTAACTTTATTGACCCCCAGCTGGGCAGTACTTGGCCCCTACATCATTACCCCCCTATTTCGGCTGTTGCCACCATGGCACTGCCTGTCAAATTCTACAACCTGGTGATGTCTGGCTCAACCCCTCCCAAGGATGGAGGGGATTCTCTTGCGAGTGATGGTGGCAGCTGTTTCAGGGGGCACAGGGCTAAGGCTGAGACGTGTCACCTCAACTGAAGTAGAAGAGGTGGATTATGGCATTGGCCACGAAGAAAAGGAAACCGCCTCCGCTCAAGTTGCTGGATGCTGAGGGGCTGTTGTTTTGGCTGGTGGCGTTTTGTCCGGAGACTCCAGTTTGTATCTGCAGGAGGAGAAGTGGGATAAGCTCAGGGGACTTTTTTATTTTATTTCATTTTATTTTATTTTATTTTTTGAGGCAGAGTCTCACTCTGTCACCCAGGCTGGACTGCAGTGGTGCGATCTCGGCTCACTGCATCTTCCACCTCCCGGGTTCAAGTGATTCTCCTGCCTCAGCCTCCTGAGTAGCTGGAACTATAGGCACGCGCCACCACGCCTGGCTAATTTTTCTACTTTTAGTAGAGATGGGTTTTCACCATGTTGGTCAGGCTGGTCTCGAACTCCTGACCTGGTGATCCACCCGCCTCGGCCTCCCAAAGTGCTGGGATTACAGGCATGAGCCACCATACCCAGCCCTCAGGGGACTTCTGAATCTCCTGTTTGTTATTTAAAGATGCAGCCCCCTTTCTACCCTCCCTGCCCTCCATCCCCCCACCTCCATAAAACAGTCCTCAGTTCTGTCCCATGTGACCACTACTTCTTCCACAAGGTCCTGTCAGGATGTTTGGCTGCTCCCTGCTTTGACACAGGCAGGGACAGAGGTGATCACTGCCCCTGCCCACCCCCTTTCACAGAATCTTTCTGTTTTTTTGAGATAGAGTTTCGCTCTTTTGCCCTGGCTGGAGTGCAGTGGCGAGATCTCGGCTCACTGCTACCTCCACCCCTGGTTTCAAGTGATTCTCCTGCCTCAGCCTCCCGAGTAGCTGGGATTATAGGCGCCCACCATCACGCTCAGCTAATTTTTTTTTCCCCACAAGACACAGTCTCTCTCTGTCGCCCAGGCTGGAGTGCAGTGGCGCGATCTCGGCTCACTGCAAGCTCCACCCCCGGATTCACGCCATTCTCCTGCCTCAGCCTCCCAAGTAGCTGGGACTACAGGCGCCCGCCACCATGCCTGGCTAATTTCTTTTTGTATTTATGGTAGAGACAGGGTTTCACCGTGTTAGACGGGATGGTCTCAATCTCCTGACCTCGTGATCTGCCCGCCTCAGCCTCCCACAGTGCTGGGATTACAGGCATGAGCCACCGTGCCTGGCTCGCCTAGCTAATTTTTGTATTTTTAGTAGAGACGAGATTTTGTCATGTTGGCCAGGCTGGTCTTGAACTCCTGAACTCAGGTGATCCGCCCACCTCGGCCTCCCAAAGTATTGGGATTACAGGCGTGAGCCACCGTACCCGGTCACAGAACCTTTCTTTTTACCTCTCTCCAGCCACCAGCCCCTCTGGCATAGAGGGAGACGGGAGCCCTGGCCCTTGACCTTCCTAGCCTGGCAAAGGGCTTAGCTTCCCTGAGCCTCAGTTTCCTCTTCTGAGTGGGGAGAAGTTCATCACAGTTGTGAAGGTCACAAGAGCCCGGGCTGAGTGAGAAAGCACTTTGCAAAGCGTGGGTGGCTGGATGTGGGGTGGGGAAGTGGCCAGATGGTGATCAAGCTGTCCTTAATGCTTGATGGAGCTGCAACTAGAGCTGTTCTTGATGGAGATTAAGCTGGTTTTGATGGTGATCAAGCTGTTCTTGATCAAGAACTTGATGTCCGGTCTCCTGTACTGACTCCCCTCTGGGCACCTGGGATGCTACCAAAGCTGCCTCCTGGAATAGCAGTCGCTTTTGAGACTCCAATTATTTCTGAAGTGGGAGAGTCCTGTCTTCTTTGCATTCCTGAACATCCAGGCTTCTCTCTGGCAGGGGAGTCGGGGTTGGAGTGTCCCCTGTCACCTCCAGAACCACAGCAGGCTCCACTTGGACATCTGGCCTCTCCCCAAAGGACCATCTCCCCAGACTCCCTATGGGCCGATGTCTTCCTCACTTAGGGTTGTCTTCCCAAGTCTCTTAATTCTCTATTATTCCACAGCACCCCTTGGGTGTCCCAATGCTCCCAGCACCCTGTAAGTGCTCCCCAGCTTGGATACAGGTTTCTATCAGGGCAGCCTGCAAGCAGTCCAGCTCCAGCCAGAAGAACTGGAAAGCTGGGCGGCCAGGCCCGCTGTGCCCTGATTTTCCTGTTGGAGTCCATCTGCTGTGCTCTCAGGAGAGAAGGCTGGGTCTCTGGGAGCTCACATCCTGTATGCCCTCCCTCCATGCCAAGCAACTTTGGGGAGTCCTGGTAGTGGTGCCAGGGGTTGCTCTTACCTGTACCATAACCAGGAGGCTGATGGTGAGTAAGAGGAAGAGGAAGCGCTTCATTTTGGTAGGATCTTGGCTGTCTTGGTAGCAGCTTTTTAGGTGATCTCAGGGCTGTCTGGAGGCTTCTTTTGGCTTGGCTGCTTTTGAACCAGGAGGCAGGGGAGGCGGGGTGAGGCAGGGAGAGGAAGGACGGCCTACAAGGTGGAGGAGGGGTGTGGCTTCCTTTCTGCAGATCTGGGGTTGGATAATACCAGGCCCTAGGTTCTAAGGCCCTGGCTGAGGGAGCAGGCTAGATCCTAGGAGATAGGAGAGAGGTCAATCCAGAGGCAACGGTGGGAGTAAGTAGGGCCCGAGGCTTGGAGTCATGCATCCTGCAGGCTGAATCCTGGTCTAATCACTGACCAACTCTGAGACCCTGGGCCAGAAACTCTACCTCTCTGACCGTTTAACAAAAGAACTGCCGGATTACATGTAATAATAACCAATTTTAAAAGAGCCAGCACATAGCAAATAGTCATAAATGAGTTTGTTGCTTAAAGAAGATAGGGGCAGGGTATAGAAGCTCAAGGAGAAAGGCTGGGATAGATTTAGGTTTCAAGGGAAGGTTGTAGATGGGCTGCAGGTTCTGAATGAAAGCTTGGGAAATATTTAGATTGTAGAGGGGATGGTAGAGTTCTGTGAAAGTGTTGGAGATGAGGAATCGGGAAGCCTGGTTTTAGTTGGGCTTTCTCTCTCTAGGCCTCAGTTCCTCATTTCAAGGAACTGGGAAGACTGAAATAGATTATTTCTGAAGTTTAAGACCTTGCGTTTTGTTTTGTTGTTGTTGTTGTTGGGGTTTTTGTTGTTGTTGTTGCTTTTAGACAGAGTTTTGCTCTGTGCAGTGGCACGATCTCGACTTACTGCAACCTCCACCTCCTCGATTCAAGCAATGATCCTGCCTTAGCTTCCTGAATCGCTGGGACTGCAGGTGTGTGCCACCATGCCTGGCTACTTTTTTGTATTTTTGTGTGTGTGTGTGTGTGTGGAGACGGGGTTTCACCACGTTGGCTAGGCTGGTCTCAAATGCCTGACCTCAAGTGATCCGCCTGCCTCAGCCTCCCAAAGTGCTGGGATTACAGGCATGAGCCACCGCGCCCAGTCAAGACCTAGCATTTTGTGGTTTGGGTAGAGAAAGTAGCAAGCAGATGAGTTGTTTGTATTAGCTGAGGATGAGCGAGGGGAGTGAGGGAAGGGACAAGCGGGTGACTAAGCTGTGGTGGAAGGGGACTGGGGTGAGGGAGTGGCTGTGAGGGCCCAGGGAGGGGTGGGCGGATGAGAGGAATCCCAAAGCTGGCCTGGACAGTGCTCCATGCTTTATGCATTCCCTCACTTGATTCCCTCTGTGGTGCCCTGCAGCAGGTGTTATGTTTATCCCCATTTGACTGGTGAAAAAACTGAGGCTTAGATGTTAAGTGACTTGCTAAGATCGTAAATGGTGGAGTCAGTCTCATTTGACCTTGAATCCAGGTCTGTCTGAAGCCACAGCCACGTACGTAACCTCTGGGGCTGCCCTAGAATTCACCCATTAAGTCTTGATTCTCTGCCACTCCCACCTCCTCCCCTACACCAACTCCCCCCAGACTCCAGGAGTTGGTGACCACAGCCCTGGCTCTGGCCCACTCTCCCTTCCTTAGTTCACTTTAGGCCTCATTCACATGCTTGGTAGTAAAGGGAAAACTCCCCTCACTTCTATTCTATTGTTTTGGGCCTTATGTTGCAAGCCCAGGGAAGAACTGGCTGAGGCCGGGCATGGGGGCTGTGCCTGTAATCCTAGCACTTTGGGAGGCTGAGGCAGGCACATAACTTGAGCACAGGAGTCTGAGACCACCCGGGGAACATACAGAGGCCCCATCTCTAAAAAAAAAAAAAAAAAAAAAAAAAAAAAAAAAAAAAAAAATTTGCTGCATAGTGGCACAAACCTATAGCCTCAGCCACTTGGGGGTTGAGGCAGGAGGATTGCTTGTGCCTGGAGGTCCAGCCATGATTGTGCCACTGCACTCCAGCCTGGGTGACAGGAGCAAGACCCCTGCTCCAAAAAAAAAAAAAGGGCCGGCTGAGGTGGGTGGATCACCTGAGGTCAGGAGTTGAGAGACCAGCCTGGCCAACATGGTGAAACCCCGTCTCTACTAAAAATACAAAAATTAGCCAGGTGTGCTGGCGCATGCCCTGCAATCCCAAACTAACTT